CTAACATCTATAGGCATAATTCATTGTCTGTCTAATTAATTAATTCCATTAACGACTCAGTTTCCAAATTGATTCGGTGCGGAAAAAATTGCTATTTAAGTGGACATATGTAATTAATCGTCTTGATAATTAATTGCATTAATGGTTTGATTTTCAAAGTGATTTAGCGCTTGATTTCCAAATTATTTTCGCATTAATGGCTACTACGAATGACGACTACTTAAATATTTCCTTTAATAATAGAGATATTACACATTTGACGGACCTCTTAAGTGGATTCATTTCTGCAAGGCTATCGAGTATTGTAGGACACATTTTTCTGAATGATTTTCTTGACGTTTGAATGGACACTCTTGATTTATTGAGAATGTAGCCTCTCTGACTCGCTATATGACCGACAAGAAATATAATATGACCGCCTCCATGAACGCCTGTATCCGGCGGTCCGATGACCCGCCTGCCACCACAAAGGTGGGAGTGTGCAAGGAAGAAAAACCAACATGGAGGGGTGGTGGTGGGAGGTGAAGGCGAAAATAAACCATGAAAGAGAAAATAAAATGTGTGTACGGCCTACCAACCCCCCCCCCCCTTAAAAGTAGGGATATATGTGATTTGGTAAGGTAAGAAAATATATGTTATTTTGTAAGATCAGAAAAAAATATGTTATTTTTGTTGTATTAGAAAAGTTGTGATTGCCATTTAATAGTAGAGATATTGAAACAATAAATGGCAGCACATTAAGGAGTGTTTTTTTATAAGGTAATCGAGAAAAATCTTATGTCTGTCTTTTAGGAAAGTGATCTCACATATATGATGTGATTTCTAAATTCTTAATTACATAATTGAATTGAATCAGCACATGCCAAAGAAAAAAGGAAACAAGACCTTCCCCTTTAATGAGATTTGATTTTTTAATAGGAGGGGGGGTGTGAGGTGAGGCAGAAAAAAATGAGACGAAAAGTGAGGAGAAGCTATCAACTCCCTCTTTAGAAGTAGAGATTTTAGTGCTATATTATTATCTTCTATACGGTGACTCTCAAATGCATTCTTCACAATCTTGCAAAAGAAGGTTGAATCCTAGCGAGGAGAGTTAGTACATCACTCATCCTAAATTAATGCATAACTTTTCCATGTCTAATCCTAAATTAATGCATCACTTATCCTAATTAATGCATCACTTCCTCAAGCTCAGCGTACAATGGCCTATAAATAGCAACCCATATGCAGTATATGTGATTCAAAACAGAAACATAATACAATATAGAGCAACTGTGCGCACATCTTAGTGATTAGCATGGAGGCCAAGCTTGTAGTCATCCTTGCGGCCTGCTTGTTGATTTCCTTTAGCAATGGAGGTACGCATGTAGTATACAGTATCGTTTTCGCACACAAATACCTGAACACATCACTACTTTGCATTTGCGATGTCATTTTGCGAGGGTTTGTGGTTGTTGCATGTTATGTATGTTTGTTGGGTTGATCGGTCCGTTAATTAACTGGGCAATTCTCTTCTTCTTAATTAATCAATGAGGTAAATCTTTTGCCTTCGTTTTGAAAAAAAAACTAAATATTCTCCATTTCATAAGTACTTCCTCCGTTTCTAAATATTTTTCTTTTTAGAGATTTTAAATGGACTACCACATATAGATGTATATAAACATATTTTAATGTAGATTCATTCATTTCGTTTTGTATGTATTGTTGAAATCTCTAGAAAGACAAATATTTAAAAACGAAGAAAGATCACGAACACCAGGAACTAATGACCAGACAATGCAGGAGATGCACAGTGCACGGTGAAAGACCTCGTCGTCGCCCAGACCACGGCGCCGACGCAGCCCGGAGAGACGTACCCGAAGCATGTGGTGACGGTGAAGAACACTTGCGTTTGCATGCAGCTCAACGTGAAGATGGACTGCGCGGGGTTCGACTCCTCAATCGACGTCGTCCCTGCTTACACGATCACGCCGGACGGCGACAATGCGCTCTGCACCCTCAATGGCGGTCGTCCGGTGTATGGAAACGGCACGGTCACGTTCAGCTACGCGTGGAGCACAGACATCAGCTTCCGGCCCGTCTCGTCGTACATGGAATGTTCCGCAGCACCATAATGTTTAAGGACTCATTTTACAAAAAAATGTTTAAGGACTCTAAAAACCATGGAAAAGTATACAGCTGGTAGTGGAAAGAACGAAGCGCAGGAAATAAATGGAGTATACTTGCCGACTCTTATTTATTTATTTTGTGGGGAAACTTTTCAGTTTATTCATCAACGGTTAAGCTAGTATAAAAAACACCAAAAGTAAAAAAAATACATCCAGATTCGTAGACCACCTAGCGACGAGGACAAGCACTGGAGCAAGCCGAAGGCGCACCACCGTCATCGTCTCTTCCTCATTAGAGCCGGACAAACCTTTTTTGTAGTAGACAACCGGAAAGTCGTCTTGTTGAGGCCTTATAGGACCACCGCACCAGAAAATTAACCATCACCGATGAAGAAAAGTGTAGATTGAAAAGATCCAATCTTTAAAAACGCAAACATGAACGAACGAAGACTGGATCCACACAGATCCATTGAAGACAAACGTCAACCGAATCCAACGAGATCCACCAGTAACAAATCTCTGCCTCCGCCACTCCTCCCCACGCGAAAGGGCCATGTTGTTGCTGGTGCGCGCATCTCATCCCTGATCGATGGCGAGGTCGTCGGCATCACGCACCTCCCCCGAGTTGCGACGAGCATTTTCCTGTGGCGAACAAGAGCATCGACCAAAGTTTTTTGCAACGGGGTGCGTCAGAGGGTGTTGGAACTTTCCAGTCCCATTGTTGACCCCGGTGAGTACCGGTGTTGCGTCAGGCGCTAGGCTCGACAACGGGGATGTGCTGGGTTTGCCCCTTTTTTTCACCAAGCGACACATTAGTTGGCTGGCACGGACATTTCTTTTTGCTACGTCCGGCGACATTATTTGCTACAACCATTTCTTTTTTGCAGGCACTAGCAGAATTTTTTATAGGAACTGGCGACTTTTTTTTTGCTAGGATCCAGAATTGGGGTGTTTCTTGTTGGAACCAGCCCCAGGTTTTTACCGCCATCTTCAGTTTTTGTTGAAACCAACGCCCATTTTTGCTACTACTGCCTTGCTGGCTTTTGGTGGAACAAAAAGGTGCCATAGCATCCAAGTGCACCGACACCCTGTTATCTTGTCCGTCGATGCACACCAAGATTCGTGGGTTGTTCTCACGAGCCACACAGACCATTTGCAGGGCCAACATGCTTATACAGGCCATTGACCGAGAAGTGCATCGATGCACGCAGTGCCATCAACACGTAGCGCATCGACGACGCGCTTCTCAAGATCTAAATTTGATCATAATTCAATGATAGAATTGTTGCTCCTGTCGCAGGGCTGACATGTCAATCCGGATGTAGACAAGCATGTCGGATTCTCCCCTATGATGAACAGTGCGAGCAGCTAGGCGCCTAGGCCCAATTTTCTACCAAATAGTCCCTCCGTTTCTTTTTAATATGCATATAAGATTTGATCAAAGTCAAACTTTGTCAATTTTGACTAAGTTTATAAAAAATATATCAAGATTCATAAATATGAAATCAATATTAGTTTATGCATCATGAAATTAATTTTCATGTCATATAGCTTTAGTTTTGTAGATGTTGATATTTTTTCCAACAAAGTTGGTCAAAATTTATAAAGTTTAACTTTGACCAAATCTTATATGCAGACTAAAAAAAATAGAGGGAGTACTTGAAGTCTCCCGTCCTAGACCTGCTAATGCAACTAGTGGTACAGGGCCGGGTCCAGATCTCGAGCAGTTGTTCTCTTGATGGACGGGGTTGATAACCGGGTGCGTAAACACCAGGGTATTCGAAATCCATTCTTGTTGGAACCAACACTAACTTTTGCTACCACTGTCTTAGGTTTTGTTAGAACCAGCCCACATTTTTGCTACCCCTAGCTTTGGCTATAACTGACGCTGGCGTCGCCATTGATGCTGAACCCGAGGGTGGGCAGAACCGGCGAGGAAGGGTGTCGCGGTCAGCGTTGTGGAGCTACCATGGATGCAACAGCGTGGTGGCGAAAAAGTTGCTACGGCCAACGGCCTTTTTGTTTTGTGATTGACGACAGCGAGTGTCGGGGGCGAGGCAAACATGCAAGGGTGGCCCGCTCGGGCGCCTGGCATGAGGGAGTGAGCGTAGACACGAGGGAGGGGACAGTTGCCATGGTATTTTCTCGTATTCTTTTCAGATGTGAACGAGGTGAAAGACGATTGGAAACCAAGCCATCGGCAACCGGCATCTATTATTGGCCAATTTTTTAATATTGAAAGCAATGAATGCCAGGACCAAACATTTGTCGTTTAATAATTGCTCATTATTCAAACATTGGATATTTTTAAATGCTAACTTATCTTATACCATGAATCAAATTAATTCTCCCCAATCAATAAAAGACTGCCTCATTTTCACCGCACAGTGGGCTATAAAAGGCAACCGTGATGCAGAACAGAAACACAACACAATAGTATACATCAACTGTGACAGCATCTCAGTAATACAATTTGTCAAAAACTGTGACAACATCTCGGTGATCAGCATGGAGGCCAAGCTCGTAGTGATCCTTGCGGCCTGCATCTTGCTTTCCTTCAGCAACAAAGGTACGCACTGACTTATACAAACTGTTTTTGCACACAAAAGGAAAGTAAAACAAACACCAGGAACTAACAATTGGGCAACGCAGGCGATGCCCAGCCGTGCACACCGTCGGATCTCCTCGTCAACCAAACCACCATGCCGGGGGAGGTCGGAGGGCGCCCGCACTACCTGGTGACGGTGGAGAACAGGTGCGTCTGCACGCAGCTCGGCGTGAAGCTGGCGTGCGCGGGGCTCAACTCCACCGTCACCGTCGACCCGGCCGGCGTGGTCGCGCCGGCCGGGGACGACGGCGCGCTCTGCACCCTCAACGGTGGCCAGCCGATGCATGCAAACGAGACGGTCTTGTTTGCGTACGCGTCGAGCGCGAAGATCAGCTTCAGGCCCGTCTCGTCCTACGTCGACTGCTCCGTAGCCCTCTCGCCGGCTCCGCAGGCTGCACCATGATGTCTAGATACTTCCTCCCATTCTTTTTAAGTCTACATATAATTTTTGTTCAAAGTCAAAGTATCTTTATTTTAACATAACTTACAGAAAAAAAATATCAACATTTACAATATCAAATTAATATTGTTAGATTCATGCGAGAGTATTAAATGTTATGTGCCTGGGCACCTAGGTGCCCCAAACATATATATAGTATTGTAGTTGTTGATATTTTTGAAAATAAATTTGATCAAACTTTGCAAAGTTTGACTTAATCCAAATCTAATAAGCGGAATAAAAATGACCGGAGGGAGTACTCCGGCAGACATGCAACGACAGATGTTTTATTAAACGGAGGCAAGGACTCTATGTAAATTTTTTTAATGAAAACATGCGCACAGCTTCCTCTCAAACGGCGTCACAGGGTGATGTCCCAAACACTAGTCTTGTTTCATTTGTTCGCCCTCGCCGTTGCATACCGTGCATCAAAACTCAAGCGATGACCATGGTCATGGCCAGGTGGTCGAAATTGTCCAGCAGGCGATGAAAACATTTTATTTCATTTTTTGAGAAAACAAGAGCTTGTATTTGGGATCACAATCACAATAGTGGAAGGGAAAAGCAGGCTCACGATCACGAGCACCACAAGCATCACAAATTTCACGCCTTTGGTTTTTGCCCAATGACCATAATCTCGCAATCTGCTCGGTCATTTTCTAAAGCGGCACCAAAAGGTTCGGGCCTTTGATTATGGTCACTGATCTCGAAGCAGGTTTTTGCCCAGTGACCATAATGTCACAACCTCTCTAGGACACCACAAAGGGGGCACAGTCCATCGATAGGCCCATGTCATTTGATGACCTCAGTCCTCGACGGGAGACAATCAGGCATAAACTGCCACACAAAGATCTTGATCTTAAAATGGGAGGCGTTTTGCACAAAGGTGTGGACCACAGAAAGAGTCAGTGCACGACATAGAGTCTGGTATGCCGAGCCGGTAGAGAACACCCCTGACGAGGACAAAAGCATCGACAAGAGGGGCCGGCCGAAGGGTGACCCAAGCTACAGTTTTCTCGGGCCCAAGGGGTTGTTTAGATTGCGCCAGGGTCCGCCTCGCCAATCGCGGGCGCACCAATTTATTGGCGGCCGATTCCGCCACCCGCGTCTCGCCAACAAATTAGCGTTGGATTGAACTAGTGCGACAGGGCAGGCCAGGGCACACCGATTATTTGGAAGCCATCTAAACACCTACCCTATGCATGATTAACGCCAATATTTTGGATAGGCATCGATGGGCGTCGATCCAAACAGCCCCTAAATGTCCATAGGAACAAGACGTTCCAATTTCCATTGTGGGCGGCCGAGGCATGCAATATCATCGGGTCCGAGCACATAGCAAAACAAGTATAGGAACTCGACAAACAACTGAGATCCACCCCAACCATGTGTCAAACCAGAAGATGGTCCCGTCTCCATCACCTATGAGAACAGATAACCCAAGCTGAGTCTCGTGCTTGATCGACTGGATATACTTCCAGAACTGGGACCCCTCCCTATGCTCACAATTAAGAAGAGGATACTTTGCTT